CTTGGTCTTGTGTTCAGGGAGACTATGTAGAACGCACCGAGTCCGAAGTCGTCTGCCATAGTAGTTGACTGGATTCCCAGCATCTGACAGTGGACTTGATACATAAATGATAAATGAATAGGACTATTATTCATGATCTACGAATAGTCTTTAGACCTACTTATATCGAATAAAAGTAATGTTGTTGATTATAGTGACAAATACAAGTTTTTAATTCTCGACAGCAAACAAAATATAAATGTAAACGGCTTTGAAAGTAGCCTCTACTCTGTGATTCACTGATTTAACTGGCTGTGTGGAAACATGTTGCCACTTTAAGCAATCGAACAGCTTTGGAATCCTTTTAGGCGTGATGGTGAGAAGGTGCGGTGGGTTTAAAAATACAGCCTGTCCTGGATGAAATAATCGTCTGGGTAACACATTTCATTATTTGAAATTCGAATATCAGTCCTAAATTGATAAAGATTTTTATTCAAGGAATAAACCAGGTTTTTTTTATCATGCTCTATATAAATTGAAGTAAATCGGCCTACTACCACTTGAAACCATTTTTTAACAGGCTCTTTAACGGTCTTCCTTTCCTACAATTAATGAAGTGTGGATACTATTATCAGCCAAAGCCGTCTGATAAATGTTTATCCATTCTTGGGAAATTTTCATTTATTTTGCAGCACCTCTGCCTATATTGGGAAAATGGATATGTTTTTTTATTGAAATAACATTGCATGATCATTGCCATTTTCATCGCATCTGGCTAGGCTGATGGCCACCTTTTACGCGTTACTATATCTCACCAAGGGCAAAGTGATAGGTGACAGAAGGACTGACTAGAGCACCTTTTCTCGTCTATTAATGGTTTAGGCTTCGAATATGTGTGAATAGGGTTACTAAGTTGTAGAAGCTCTTAACCCATATTGTGCACAATATAAATTTTATTATCTGCTTATATATCTTCGATCCATGAAATGTTCTCAACTCTACAAAACTGAAGTATATACACGAAATGTCTATCTCAATCGAATAACCATACTACTTGATTAGTGGATCGTGGAGATTACCAGTTTCTATAGCTTGTTTTTTATAGTTTCATTTCATATGAATGTGCATAATAAAGATGTTCGTTGGTAGATCTCACCGGAACATGATGACTGATTATCGCTGCTCTACAGTGAGAGTTGTCATATTTAACACAGAGTTACAACTCGTCCAAGTGACAAGTAAAGTAATTCCTAATTGACAAATTTTATGTTCAACAATTGTGGCATCTCCCCTCACCCTGCCCTAGCAGGAGAGGTCATTACCTTCATTAAATATAATTGAAGCGACACTCTTGGGTGATATTGGAAAAAACGAAGGCACAGAGAGGTATAGATATGTTCATTGGCCCTATGAAGTGGAGTCTAGGAATGAGGAAACAACGCTAGGGCCTAAGACAAAGGACAAGTTAATTTATATTTCTTTTCTGTGAGTTTCCTACAAATAATTATGAGAATATTATTTAGTTGTGGAGGCTATACATATATATTTAGCGTCAGCCTGAAGCAAAAAAGCTTGTTGCTACATAAAATCTGGAGTCAAATAGTAGGCGAGGTATGAACTTGACAAAAAATTTGAGAAAAGTTGATGAATAGGCCTTGGATAAGTGGTCAGATTAAGCAAATCTTTTAGAAGCTCTGCAGAAAATTAAGTCATTTCATAGGCATTTATGGCACTGACTTTGACAGCTAGACAATTATTCACCTCAACATTACGTATCATACAAATACAAAGCTGTATATAAATTTATAATCAACCGAAATATATGAGATGTATTCACCCTATTTCGTTTAAAGTGGTTGAATTTCCCCCCAATCATATAGTTCCCATAAAATTGTATATAGCCTTGATTTACCCAAAGGTATTCTCATCCAGGGTGGACTAAAATTTCAATCTCGCCTGGATCTTAAAAACTTTTCCAGCGCGGGTCGAACCATGAGAGCGCAGTGTGTAACCTTGATACGCTACGTTGCAGCGAGTGCCATTGTGGCGTAGTAATTAACGTGTCGAGATTATATATTGCACTGTCATGGTTTCACTCTCGCTGGGGGGTTGATAAGACCTAGGCGAGGTTAAAATTTCAGTCTACCCTGGATGAGATGATCTTTTGGAAAAGTAAGGCTCTATCCATATTATTATGGGAAAATTAAACTACCAGTCCTTCATCACCGTAAACAGATTAGGGTGAAGACATCTCGTATAACTGATTTAATAATAGTCTTAAAACCCTACCTGTAGGTAACCTGTATATGCCAGATAACTCAGAAGAATAGTATCTATTTTATATTGTTCTTTTGCAAGACAGGCATCCTTTATAGTAATTCGATAGCCAGCTTAATAACTTGAAAAGCATCTTCTTGTCACTCCATCTCTATTCTTCAACAAATGATCTGCTTTATTTTTTGATATGTTAATGCAACGATTCCTTTGTCCGTGTCTCAGTTAATCGCATTTTTAAACAGCTGTTCGTAGATTTAGGCTTAATTTACTACCTTGAAGTTTTCTTCCCAAAAATTCTATTTGCCAATTATCGCAAATCCTACTTTATAGTCTAGTTCTATGCTAAAGAAATAAGTTGGACTGGGATGTAATGAGTGTCTGCTTGTTTCGTAATTCAGTGGATCTTAAAATGTGTGTGTGGTCGAAGCGATATTGTGCTTAACCTTGGACTAGCTTGCTGATTTGATTGTATAAGGTTTAAAACAATGGCGACCCTCTATGAAAATTTAAAACACCAAAATGAAGCTTTTTCTTCAAATGAACGAGATTGGTGTACTCATTAATTACTGAAAATAACAGAATACAAATTAGTAACTCCGTCAACAGAGAGAAATAGTTTTGAACTTACAGCCGTAAATGCCTCTGTAAAAAAAAGATTTGTGCAGCTGGGGGATCCAAAAGTTTGACAGATGGTGTTTATACCTGCGGACATAAGGCCATCTATCATCCATAAGACCTTATTTTTTGAATTCTTTCCTACTTCATTCAGTAAAAAATGCCTTTTCTTTAGTTGTATTATCATTTAATAAGAGGATTTTGGAAGTAGAATTACGTGAAACAAGTGACAAGAACTTTATCTATATAATGCTTACCGATAGGAAATTTCTCAGCATCAATTCTAAAAGAGATTAATTTAACAAAAGCGTTTGAAATTTTATTATTCCTGTCTAAGGAAATTGCTTTTACATCCATGTGTTTTCTCATTACGTCCTTCTCGAGTTTACGTACGTGACTGAATCATTTTTCTGGCTTCCTGCCTATCCTTTAATTCCTTTACTTATCACTCAATATTGATAATTGTTTTTTCTTCTCTCTATTTGCATTAAGGCATTATTTTTGCTCATCGCCTACTTTAATACATTTGTATTTGTTAAATTATTGGACATTTTCATTCAGCTTTACATATGCTTACTTTTATATTGTTACATTTTGCTACAGTTTGTCAATTTTTATTTAATTTTCAAAATCATCTACTCGCTCTATTTGTCCTACATTTTTCCATTGCCACAGATTCTCCTGGCCGAAACTGAAGTTACTCTTGAAAGGATATTTATTGGTTCTACTCGTCACTCTGGTTTGCGCCTGCCAGCCGCTGCAGAGTCTAGGTGGTTGGTCAGGTCCAGCGCGAAAAACTACAGAATAACACATGGTCTACTCGCTCTCACTGATGAGACTCTGAATAGGTAAGGATACGTCGAATTAAGCTTGAATATGCGGATTTGTACATATAAAGAGATGATGGCTCTTATTGCGAATTGCAATAACATGATTGATGAAATGTGTTCGTTATTATTTAACTCGATAATTGTGTCCCAATTCACTTAACCAAATTCTGAGTACTATTCCTTGCATCTATCTGTTGCTTTTCTGTCCTAAGCACTCTGTGGAGTCATGTTGTTCCTCTCACGTGGCTTGCTGACCTTTTCACTGAACCAATCGATAACGTGAGTGTAGGTGACACGGGCATAAATAAAAGACGTGCTTCCATTGATACCTGCAGGGTGAATGACGAGCCCTGGCGTCAGAGTATAAAAAAGAGCGTCCAATGCCCGTGCACCATCTCGCAGGTTAGTGAAGCATCGTTTCTTCCTATTCTTCCCTCCCATATTCTCGTTTTTCTTCCTTCACTCATTAGTTTATATTCTCCCCAGTAAATTTTGCCTTCGTATTCAGTACCGCCTTCTTTTCAGTTCACATCCCCTTTTCTATACCAAGTAACAAGTAACTAAGTATGCAACAATTTTGGTTTAAACTAGAAAACTATAGAATAATAGAGATTCAGGAACTCGAACGACTAAAAATACATAAGAGTGGGGCACACAAATTAATGGCATAAATAAAAAAGGATATATGAAGACCCAGATGTTATGGCGTCTGGTATGGTCGCAGTCTTTTTCAATTTATAGAAGTGGGTTGACCTCGTTGTCGCAACTTGGTCTTGTTTTCAGGGAGACTATGTAGAACGCACCAAGTCCTAAGTCGTCTGCCATAGTAGTCGCCATGACTCCCAGCATCAGACATTGGACTTGATACATTCTTAAAGGTTTGTCGGCATCATAGTCGGCAACATCCGTAAGTTTTGCCATTCTACGCACCATGCTACGAACTCGTAAAAGGGACAAATGAAGTCAATCCCTCGTCAAACGTTCTGCCGAAAACGGTTAAACTATCACTCCTCTTTCTGTCTTGGCCTATCTACCTACTCTTTACCCTCTAATCCCACTGCCACCCC